TCTCGTTTATAGCTCCTGCCTTTTCCAAATCTTTTGCCAGGCAATCATATTTATAAGGCTTTCCTATTTCATCTTCCCCAGCAGAGCTCCTCAGGATTTGTTCCTGCCTCTCCCATTCAGGCTTTGCTAAGTACCCTGTCCTGGGCCCTCAGCAAATCAGGGCAGACAGCAGAGGCAATAAAGGATTTCACATGGGCAACAAAATCTGCTGTTCCCACCCATTTCTGAGTGCCTTCCAAAAATCCCACTGTGTGTGGGGGCCGGGGTCATCTGATGAAGCAAATGTAGGCAAATTTCACTGAGCTGCTTTCCTGACTGAACAATGACTCAAATTTCATCATGGAAACAGTTCCAGGCATGAGGAAATTCTCTATTCTGGAACATTTTTTTTATTTTTCCATCCCCTGGCTTCCCTAGCAAGCTGACACTTGAATTTATTTGGTGCTGGTGGAAATCCTGGCTGCAGGGGGTTAAAGTCCTGCAGGGATCGGGGGGTTGGACACATGGAAAGGGAGGAATGGGAATATTTGGATTATTGGCCATCTCCAGTTGTGTTTCTGTTCCTGGATGGACCCGTCCAAAGGAGGCGTTGGGATGGTTCCAGCTGGGAAAAGGCTTTTTCCTTCTGGCTTGGGGCAGCAAACATCCAAAGCAGCAGTGAATAACCCCGTGCTCTGCCAGCATTTATGAATTTAGGGGGCTTGGAAGAGGGGGCAGAGCAGGAGGAATTCCTGAGTGGGACAAGGAGCTTGGAGGGAACTGGGAATGTTTTTATGTGGGAATGGCTCCTGTGACCCTGCAGGAGGAATTGCTTCAGGGCAGTCCCATAAATCAGGGAAAAGCCCAAACCTGGGCAGAGAGAGGGAAAAATCCAAACCTTGGGCAGAGAGAGGGAAAACCCCAAATCCTGGGCAGAGAGGGAAATCCGAAACCCTGGGCAGAGAGAGGAAAATCCCAAATCCTGGGCAGAGAGAGGAAAATCCCAAATCCTGGGCAGAGAGAGGGAAAACCTCAAATCCTGGGCAGAGAGAGGGAAATACCAAATCCTGGGCAGAGAGAGGGAAATCCGAAACCCTGGGCAGAGAGAGGGAAATCCCAAACCCTGGGCAGAGAGAGGGAAAACCCCAAACCCTGGGCAGAGAGGGAAATCCCAAATCCTGGGCAGAGAGAGGGAAATCCCAAACCCTGGGCAGAGAGGGAAAAGAGCTCTCTCTGGTCTCAGCTGCTGGATAGAGAGGGGAATTCAGCCCCGTTTGGGACTTTTAGAACTTTGTTTTTCTGGTGCCACAAAGTGTAACAGAAGTTCTGTTTGCACACTTGGGAAAAGTCTCTGCACAATTTATTGACAGATTAATTTGCATTTATCATTCCTTACTTGGCTTGTTGAGGGCACTTTAACTTTTGGGTTTTTTTTTTTTTTTAATGTAAAAAGAATAATGCTGCTCACTTTTAATAATTCTTAATTTAAAAAAAAAAGTTCAGAACTCACAGTTTTTCACTGGTTTAAGATCTCATTTTAGCATTTATATTATCCTAATCAGTTTTGAAATACTGACTCATCCCTGCCTGCTGCTGTCCAGATCTCCTGATGTGTTCTGACAACAGCAGTGTGTTTATTTCAGAGAGGAATTTAATGTTTGTTCCTAACTTTTTTTCCCCCTCCTTTCTTTTTCATTTCTATTATTGTCATAAAAAGATTTAAAGTCCCTTTTGGCCTCGCGCGCAGAGCATAAAACACAAAAACCTTCCTGAAAGGTAATTTTCCAGGAATGAAACCCACAAGAATTGTGTGTCAGGCTTTGTTCTTCTGCCATTTGCTGCTGCTACAAAACAATATTTTTTTTTTTTTTTGGTAGTGCTGAAGGGACTGAATCCCAAAAACTGACATGGAAAACCTCAGGGATTTACAATCAGGAATTCCAGTTAGGGCATAACAGAGGTGATCACAAGAGGAGGAGGAGTTGAGGTGAAATCCTGAGGATTAAGGGCACTCTGGGAGAGGCTCCTGCAGGTAAATGGGAAAATGTTATTTATCCAGGAATGTTGTGCTGATTCCACCTGAGCAGGAATGTCCTGCAAGCGGGAATCCAGACAATTCCATGTGTAAACCACAGAAATATCTGTGAGTGTGAGGCGATGGGGAAATGTGGGAGCCCAGCACATCCCCCTGGCTGCCCCGGCTGGCTCCAGCCCTGGCAGGGCTCGCAGACCTTGGCACCAAGTCACAAACACCTGTGGGCTCCATTTTAGCCCGTGGGAAAAGCTGCCAACTCTGTGTGAGGAATTACAAACCACAAGGGTTTGAGCAGTGTGGTAGGTGAGTTAACACAGGGTGGAAAAGTAGAATTTTGGGGTTTGTAGAATGGGGTTCAAATGGAGGATTTGGGCGTGTCTCCTCTCCTTCTCCTTCTCCTTGCCCTCCATGCCTTGCTGTGCTGGTGACACTTTTCTGTTGGTTTAAGGACAGACACACTGCCCAACAGAAATGACAGATATTGGCACGTTATTGTAAACGTGGCACAGGCAGTTTTTGGTATAAAATGCAAACACGCCCTGGGGGCAGACAGAATGCCATGGCCGAGCTGCTGGCCAGAGCTCAGCAGGGCAGAGAAAGAATGTTCTGGAGAAGGGACAATAAACAGCCTTGGGAAGCCGACCCTGCGCACTCCGACTCCTCCTTTGGCTGCGGGGCTGGAAATGAGGACTTTTACACTCCTGGGGTCATCCCCACCTCTAGACCCCAAGGGGGAATCATTCCTGCTTTTGCGTGTGCTGCTTGGATTTCCAAAGGAAATGCTGAAGGGAAAAGATGCACCTGGGTTTACCTGGCCATGTGAGGGGTTTGTGTGGGGAGGGAGCCACTCCCAGCTCCACAATCTCCCTGACATCCAAGAAAAGCCAGGGCTCACCGTCCAAGCACAGCCTGCCGGGAGAAATCCGCCCTGGCTTTCGGTGGGGCTGGGATTTCCTCCTCTGTGCCTTGCCCTAAATAGCAAATCCAGTGGAATAACTCGGGGTCACTGGGAGTTCTCCGGCTGGGGGATCCTCAGGGACTTGGCTGCTGCTCTCCCTCTGCTCCAAGGCTGCTGGGAGCCTGGGATTTCCCAACCTCTCCAAAATTTAAAGACATTTTTTGTTCTTTCCTGCAAAACTTGGATGGAATAAAACCTGCAGGGATGCAGCGCTGCTGAAGATTGACAAGATGGAAATTGGCATCGGTGTTGGGGAGCAAAACACTGGAGTTGTGATGGTATTTTCCAAAGCACCCTGAGAAGGGGCTGAGAGCACTGCAGCCTGTGAAGGCGGCTGTGATTTCCCAGCACAGCTTGGGGACTGTTTGCACACACAGAGCTCCGTGCTGAGGGACAGCTCCTGCGATTTAACAGAAATATAACAATATTTCTATTATAAAGTATTATAATAGATTTATTTCTATGTATTTATATTATTTCTAAAATATTATAATAATTTATTTATATTATTGCTGTTATAAAATATTTCTATATTAATAAACAATATTTTCTCGTTGTTCTGTCACCTCCTCCTGGACGAGGGAAGGGTTCAGTTTTCCTTCTCAGCGCCACAACTTCCCTCTCATCTGCCTCCATTCCGCTGCTTTGGGTTCCATCACCTCCCTCGTGCCCTCAGCTGTTCCCTCCTGGCTCCCTTCATCCTCACACGTGTCCTGTTATCCTCCCTGGCTGCGCTCGGTGCTCTCTGATCCTCCTGCAGGAATTGTTCCCTTCTCACCCACATCCGTCGCATTCCTCTGAATTTTTGCCAAAAGCAGGCAAAGTGCTGAAATAAATCCAGCACTGCCGGAGATCAATGGGAATTTCCTGGGTTTGAGCGGATGGGAGCCGTTCCAAAGGCAAAGCCTCCGCTCCAGGGCCTCTGGAATTCGGGAACTGAGGGACCTTCCTCATCCTGAGGGAATGCCCCGGCCCCTGATGGCAGCTGAGGATGAGAAGTGCTGAAAACGTCTCCCTTCACACCCTGCAGCTTCTGAACCTCAGCTCCCCACCCCTTTTCTGGTGGTTTTGATGCTGTTTTGTGGCATTTGGCGGCCCTTACACTTAAATTATTTGATTTTTTTATTCTGTGTGTGTGTGTGTGTGTGTCCTTTCAAAGACCAAACCAGCAGCTCTGCAGGTGCTCCTGGAGTAAAACTGATCTTAAATAAAACCTGGAATAAAACTGCTCCTAAATAAAACCCAGAGTTAAACCAATCCTAAATAAAACCTGGAGTTAAACCGATCCTAAATAAAACCCAGACCAAAACCAATCCTAAATAAAACCCAGACCAAAACCAATCCTAAATAAAACCCAGACCAAAACCAATCCTGAATAAAACCGATCCTGAATAAAACCTGGAGTTAAACCAATCCTAAATAAAACCCAGAGCAAAACCGATCCTGAATAAAACCAATCCTAAATAAGACCCGGAATTAAACCAATCCTAAATAAAACCCAGAGTTAAACCAATCCTAAATAAAAC